ACTGTGAGTCAGAACTGACTCGATGGCACCGTGGGCTGGACGATCCCACCCCTGGTCTAGATGAACCTTTGTTTCTGAGAGTAATTGCTTTTGCCAGGATCCTCTGATGCGCTCTTTCTGCAGATCCTTTGGGAGTTGGGTGTGGAGCAGCTATGTATCCCGACTCTTGCTCTTCAGTGAGACTCAGTGTGTTATACTGTGGGGGCCTGTGTGTTGTCATGTAGGAAGTGATGCCACCGTCCTTCAAATACCAGCAAGGTCACCGTGGTGGATAGCTTTCAACAGCGCTTCCAGACTAAGACAGACTGGGCTGGAAGGCCCAGTGGTCTACTTGTAAATCACTTGGTCAGTGAAAGCCATGTGCGTGGCAGCAGAGCGGCTCCAGTGCCTCTGGTCATGGTCTGATGAGCTGCTCAGGGTGGGAGGCCATCGGAGTCTGATTGGGTGTCCACATTTAGGGGCTACAGCTACTGTCACAAAATACATTGTGGACAAACTGCTGAACCTCACGGTTCACACTGACTTTGCAGTCCAGCTCATTAACCCACAGCACCACACCGGTACCCCTCTACCAGAGCTCCTTAAACTGTTGAATGGGAAGAATAATTTGCTTGGTAAACTTTTACCCAGACCACAATTAAAAAAAAAAAAAAAGGAAACACCACTATAATAAAAGCTTTAACGAGCCTCCTTTCAAACAAGTAAAATTAATCTAGCACTAGACTGCTAACCCACAAGGTCAGCAGTTCAAACCCCCCAGCCGCTCTCTTGGGAACTCTGTACAAGGTTGCTGAGTTGGTACTGCCTCGATGGTACACAACAACAACAACAAAGTCTTAGTTATCTGGTTGTGCAGTAACAGAAAGTCCACTGGAGGATGGCTTTAACACGCAAATTTCTTCTCTCCTGGTTTACGAGGTTAGAAGTGGACTTTGGAGTGCCAGCTCTAGGGAAGGCTTTGTTCTGTTTCCTGGTGCTCGGAAGTTCCCAGTGCAGGCACCCGGGCCCAGTGGATGCACTGCACTCCTGGTTCTTCTCTCGTTGTGGCAGTACATCCCTCTGTCTCTGCCTTTATCTCTTGTAAGATAAAGGGGTATTGTACGTCACACTCCAGGGACTCTTCTGTTATATCCCATTAGGGCTGTGATCTGATTAGGGTGTTCTATCCCACCCCACCCCATTAGATCAGGGCTGAACACATCAGCTCACATCATAGAGAATGGCATCATTATAACCCTGCCACATTCCTGAGAATCGTGGCCCCTCCAAGTCCCACATATTTTGGGGGGCATCTGTGATACTCCACATAATGGAAAAATACGACTGAGGAAAGCTGCCTCTTCAAAGTAGAGTTGACTTTAATGTTAGGGATTTGAGCAAGGCTCTCAGGACCTTTGTTTGCTAATGTGGCGATGTTCAAACTGAGAAGAAACAGCTGAAAACACCCACTAATCAATGGAATGTGGACTATATGAAGTATGAATCTAGGAAAATTTGAAAATCATTGAAAGTGAAATAGAACAAATGAAGATTGATATCCCAGGCTTTCCTGAGCTGAAATGGACTATTGGTTATTTTGAATCAGATAGTCATAGGTCTACTATGCTGGAAATTGAAGAGGAATGGTTTTTCATTCATTATCAGAAAGAACATTTTAAAGTCTGTCTTCACGTAAGATGTCAGTGGTAGGTTCATATCCATACCCCTATAAGGAAGGACCAATTGAATAGAAATATTATTCAAATTTACACACCAGCTGGTCACAAAGGTGAAGAAATTGAATTTTTTTACCGACTTCTGCAGTCTGAAATGAGTCAAATGTGCCATCAATATGCATTGATAATGACTGGTGATTGGAATTAGAAGTTGAAGACAAATGACTGAAAGTTGGCAAGTAATGGTCTTAGTGACAGAATTTTATAAAGCCGGTACCTTTTTCAGCAACATAAATGGTGGCTGCACAAGCCCTATCTAATGGAATACGCAGGAATCAAATTGACTCACCTGTGGAAGCTACAGTGGAGAAGTTCAGTAGCATCAGTCAGAGCCAACCTCGAAACAGAACATCAGTTATTCATATGCAAATTGAAGTTAAGGCTGAAGAAAATTAATTCCAGGAGAGCCAGAGTACAGCCTTGAATGTATTCCACTGGAGTTCAGAGACCCTATCAAGAATAGATTTGATGCATCAAACTCTAATGACCATTGATAGCCGAGTTGTGGGATGGCATCAAGGACACCATACATGAAGAAAGCAAAGGGTCATTAATAAAGAAAGAAAGAAAAAAAACAAGTGGATGTCAGAAGACTTGCTCCTGAATGTAGAGTAGCTAAAACAACTAAGAAATGAAGTAAAACAGATGAGCAGAAGGTATCAAAGGGCGGCTTGAGAACACAAATTCTTATAATGAAATGTGTAAAGACCTGGAGTTAGAAAATCAAAAGGGAGGAACCCGTTTCACATTTCTCAAGCTGAAAGACCTGAAGAAAAACTTCATGCCTGGAGTTGTAATATTGAGGGATTCCCTGGACAAAATATTGAACTGATTAACTTTTCAGCCTGGGAGCGGAGGTCCCTGGGACTATCAAGGGAGAAGAGCGGAGAGTGGGACCCTACCCAGAGAAGCAGTGATGCCTGAGATGGAGGCAGAGACAATGAAGTGGAGAGATGGAGCAGTTGGGGACTTCAGACACAGAGAGGGAGAAGAAGGGGCTGTGTGCTGATGACCGGGGGACAGGCTTGTAGTGTATACCCTTTGATTGGTGGATGATGCATGGAGGGAATTGTAACCATGGCAATGAAATGATGTATGATAGGATGAATGTAAAACTAATGTGCACCCATGTAAACTATCACAAAGTTCACAATAAAACATTAAAAATATATATATATTGAACAACGCAGGAAGCTTCCAGAGAAGATGGAAGGACTACACACAGTTACCATACTGAAAAGAATTGGTTGGCATTCATTGATTTCAGGATGTAATGACCAGGAATCAGTGGTATGGAAGGAAGAGATCCAAGCTGTACTGAAGGCATTGGGAAACACAAGTCTTCAGGAATTAATGAATTATCAGTTGAAATATCTGTACCAAGAAACTTGAAAGAGAGCTACTTGGAAGAGATACATTACTTATGCCCATTCCAAAGGTGAGTCAAGAGAATGTGGAAATTATTAATGCCATTAATATTGCACAAAAGTAACAATTTAAAAATGGTTGTAGCATTACATTCACAGGGAGCTGCCAGAAATTCAAGCCGGTTTCAGAAGAGAACATGCAACAAGGGTTATCCTTGCTGATGTCAGGTGGATCTTGGCTAAAAGCAGAGAATACCAGAAAGCTGTTTGCCTGTGATTTATTGACTGTGCAAAAGCATTCAACTATGGATTATAACAACTCATCCAAGACTGGGAATTCCAGAACACTCTGTACATAGACCAAGAGGCTGATTTCCAACAGCACAAGGGGATGTTGAGTGGCTTAAAATCAGGCATTGACTCTTGTCTGCACTTGGATTATGGTGTTGGCAAAGAATAGTGAAATTACCATAGACGACTGCAGAAAGAGAGTCCTGGTGTGGTACTGTGGGATCGTGCACTGGACTGCAAGGTCAGCGGTTCAAATTCATCAGCAGTTCCTTGGAAACCCTATGCAGGGTTGCTAGGAGTCGGAATAGACTCAACAGCATTTAACAATGACCACAAGCTAGAAGTACAAGCAAATGTGTCTTGAAAGTACAGCCTGAATACTCCTTAGAAACTAGAATGGCAAAACTTTCTCTCTCCCACTTGGACAGTTACTCAGGAGGGACCAGTCCCTGGGGAAGCCCATCATACTTGGTAAAGGAGCGAGTCAGTGAAAAGGGGGAAGACCCCCAGTGAGGTGGAGTGACGTAGTGGCTGCAGGAGTGGGCTCAAATCCAGCGAGGACTGTGAGGGTGGAAAGGGCATGGTCGGGTTTCCCTCTCACACATGCGTCATTGTGACTCAGAACTGACCACCGGAAGGACCTAAGAGCGGCAGTGGGACACTCCACACGCTTTCAGTCTGTTTTTAATGTTTTGCTGGATCTGCATTGCTGAGGTCAGCCAGTGGGCAAAGTCCAGGTGGGCTTTGTGTGGTATGGCCTGACCGTGTGGCAGGACTGAGGTGCTCACCGAGGGTCCTGGCTGTGGGCCTTGGTTAGGGAGGCAGACACTGCTGTGGGGTCCCGATCTGCTGAAGGCAGTCCTGCCAAGACCGTTTCAGGGGGTGATGGAGCAAGTAAGGTCAGCCCTCCACAGCACAGCCCGGTATTTTCTGGTGTCTGCTCCAGAGCCCCCACAGAGTTTCCACAGCCTGCCTCCACCCTGCCCTTAGTGAAGTTTCTCATTGAGAGAGACGCGAGCCCCTTGGCCCAGGCTAAACCTTGTAAGATGTGTGTAGCTCTATGAGGGGACGGCATGTGGGGGTAAGGACACTAAGGTTTTGGTCACATTTTGGTCAGCTTTATTGAAGTGCACTAAATAGTATGTAAGGGAGCCCAGGCAGTGTAGTAGATTATGAACTGGGCTGCTAGCCACAAGGTCAGCAGTTGAAATCTACCAGTGGTCCTACTGGAGAAGGCTTTCTGCCCCTGTAAAGCTGTACAGCCTCAGAACCACCCTGGTGGCACTCTGGGATGAGTAGGGGACTGCTGACCACAAGCTCGGCAGTTCAAACCCACCAGCTGCTCTAGGGGAGAAAGATGAAGGAAGCTTTCTGCTCCTGGAGGATTTCGCTGTGGGCTTGCTGTGACTCAATGACAGCGGGGCTTTGATTTGGTGACACTGCAGTGGGTCAGCGGCTCAGTCTGCAGGAGATATTGGCGGTCAGCTCTCGTCACGGGTCTCGGTCGAGGAACCTTGCGGGACAGTTCTCTATCAGAAGCAGCTCAGTGGCAGTGGGTTTAAATAGTGTACATTTCAAGAGTACAATTTGGTCGGTTTTGATGTCTGTCTGCACCCCTGAAATATTAAAGAGTTTCCATCACCCCAAGAGTGGCACGAGCGTTTCTTTGGGGAGTAGGCATCTCCCCAGGTTTGAAATACAAGGAAGCTTTTTGGCCACTGCTTTTACCACAGGAAGAGGAAAGTGAAACATTGTGGGGCCCCAGCCCCCCTCGACCTGGGTGGCACCCCTCCTCTGGGATGGGGACGGGGCAGTTGCCACGGTACAGTGACAGACCACTCCGACTCCTAAGCCTGATGGCAGCTGGTCAGCACACTGCAGGGACTGGCCAGAGCTTGCACCCATGAGGCTGTTACCAGCATGGCCCGGGCTTGCCCATGACGCTTGCTAAGCCTGGCCTCCCTTTTTAATGTTTGCATTTGTACTTGAAATCCTCTCTAGAGACTGGACAGGAGGTTACTCAGACTCATTAAGACATGAGCCACCTTGTTACTGTCCTCTTCTGTGCCGACGAACGCTGTGTGTTTTTCTGGTGCAGCACTCTGACCCCGTGTTCATTCCTGGCTAGGACTGAGGAGGGACAAATGCTCTGTGAGACTGCTGTTTCTCCGGTGGCAGTCCTCTGACCCCGTGTTTATTCCCCGCTAGGACAGAGGCAACAGGGATGCTCACTCTGGCAAGCAAGTTGAAGCGGGATGACGGTCTCAAAGGGTCCCGCTCAGCAGCTACAGCGTCAGACTCCACCCGGAGGGTGTCCGTGCGAGACAAGCTGCTCGTCAAAGGTAATGTGGGGTCCCAGGGCCCAACTCACTGCGAGCCGAGGCTCTGTCGAGGATGAAGTGACTTGTGACTGGGTAGAGTACCTACCTGTCTGAAAAGATGTAAGAATATAATCACCTCCTGCCTACGATGGAAAACATGAATGACAAGGAACTGGGTTTGAAACTGGTGCTGTCTTGGTGGTGGTGGTGGTAGTTATGTACCATCGAGTCTGTATAGGCTTTCCCAGGCCAGAAATCTTTATCTCTACCATGGAACGGCTGGTAGTTTCGAACAGCTGACCTTGAGGTTAGCAGCCCGGCTTGTGACCGCTACATTACCATGGCTGTCTTACACGCTGACACCTCTTCATGGGACTTCTCGGCATGCTCGTGGAGATTGAGCAGCCCCCCATCTTGTTCCAGTGTTGTCCTCACCCAATGGGGGGGGGGATGGCAAGGACCCCTTCAGGGTCCTGTGGAACCCACTTGATCCAGGTGGAGTTAGGGACTTGACCGGGTCCTGGAGCCCCCTCCGCCCCGCTGCCAGTGTGGGTGGGTGGGAGCCGCTCCGGGCTGAAGGAGGCCCAATTTGCCGCTGCACTTTCACTTCCTATTATGACAGCTTTCTACACTTCCTGAAGTCAAGTCATTTGTGACAGCGCTTGGTTTGCATGCTCTGTTGGGTGGACAATATGGGAGTTACCGGTGTCTGAGTATCCTGCACTGTAGCTCGTGACTGGAGACTTTGTGTGTTGAAAGCAGTATGTTGGGCCTTCCCAGAAGGAAACTGCCAACTGTGGAAAGGAATGGGAACAGGAAGGGTTTGGCTGGTAGAGACCGGACGTGGGTGCTTCCTGTCATCCCACTGACTGACTGGCTAAAGGTTGGCCTGGTGGGGGTGGGAGGGCACTGACCTAACTTGGGGAGGGGGAGGGGGTGAAGCAGCAGCAACAGCCAAGACTGGTTCCAGGAGGCAGAGGTCAGACCTGCCTCCACACTCCAACCTTTTCACCACTTGTGACTCCAGCGGCCCTCCCACACCCTCCGCTCTGGGCTCTGGGCTCTCTGCTGGACTGGCTAGTTCCCAGCCCCTCAGACCACACTGAAAGTGAGGAGCCACCCGGCTACAGTGCTTCTCTCTGGCTCTCAGCCCCTGCGTGCAGATGGGGGCGCCTGGGGTTTACTGACAGTGGGTGGGGTCTCGAGAGTGCCATGGGGGTGGACAGGGAGCCCAGGAGATTTGGAGAAAATCAGGGTGGCTGACTTTGGGGACAGTGCAGGTCACAGTCCAGAGTTTGCTGTCTCCTGGGACTGAGTAGACAATGCTAGAAAGTGGACCGGGCCTTCATCCCCTTTATCAGTTTGATGGCTGGGACCTCTCCCCCCCTCCCCCCCCCAGCAGGCTGGTGAAGGCTGTGGTTGTGGGGAAAGGAAAGGGGGAGTCAGATGAGCAGGGTCTGTGGAAAGGTGGCAGGTGTGGGCAAAGAGGGGGGCGGGGAGAACCAGACAGAGGGGGGAATCTAGCAGTTGGGGAAGTTGGGAGGAGGGGGGAGTTGGGTAGAGGGACAGCCAGGAGCAGGGAGCTGGAGGAAGTGGGGAGCAAGGAGGCAGGGAACCAGATGGAGGAGTGAGCGGGCCTCTCCAGGCAGGGTCGTGACCCTGAGTGGGTGTGTGGATGAGAGTGGACTGAGAGTGGAAGGTGTGGTATGACAGACAGCCCGATTGTGGGGGGCCAGTGTGGGTACTGGGCCCGCTCTGGCTCCTGGGATGGCCACGGGCAGCTGACCAGGGTGCAGTGGCTCCTTAGTAGATGCCAGGAAGCTCACCCATGCTTGAACCCCAGCCTTCCAGGTGGGAAGTGGTGAATGGGGGCAGTGTGGGTGTCCTGAGCAGGATCAGGGGTGCTGTCTGCCTCCAGTCCTGGGAGCTGTGGGGTCTGCAGCCAGAGTGTGCAGTGTGGGCCCCTGCATTAGACAGCACTCCCTGCCCCCAGAAGCCTTGGGGCTGTGTTACTTCCTGTCAGGAACTTGGCCCTTTTTATCGGGGCTCCCTGCCGGCCAGCTAGTGACCAGAAGCCCTGGTCAGTCTCTGCATTCAGTAGGGAGATTCTGCACAGCAGGGAATTTACTGGGATGAGAGGATCTGATCAGCCCTACCCCCACGGAGGTCTCAGCTGGTGGGGTCTGAGGGGGTGGCTGCCTGGTGGAGGCTCGTGCTCTGAGCTTGTTCTTTCTCACTGTCCTGGGGAGTGTGGGAGACCTGGGAAGGTGTCAGCAGGAGGGGACACACCGAGCCGTAAAGTCAGGCAAAGCCATCAGACAACCAAATGAGGAGGTCAGAAAGTCTCCAGGAAGGAAGGCTCAGCTGTCCTGCCTGGGGCTGGCTCCAGACAGGAACCTTCTTCCTGTGTGAGGAGCCCTTGGGATGCCTGAGTCCACCGCCTGCAGGAGGCCACTCCCTGGTGGCAGCACACCTGCCTGTCCCAGGGCTGTGGTCAGTGGTCAGTGAAGAGGAAGGAAGTAGAGGGCGGAGCCATACCAGGTGCCAGGGCCTCTCAGAAACGCTGCCCAGTGGGTGCTGGAGGCCTTGGCATCTTAGGATGGGAGAGACACCTGTTATGGCTTCTGGGTACCTGCCAGGTGAGGGCAGTGTGATCCCTGACCATTGTCTCTGGGCCTGCCTGCCTTCTCAGTGATTCTCTTGTTGTCTGCTGCCCTCTGACCCCTCTCCAGGGACAGTGTCCAGCCCGGGTTTGTGCACCTCTGGTGTGATCCAGCAGTGACCCTCACTTGTGGTGGGGTGGGGACAGTCTGGCCATACTGGCTCCCATGAATGAGCCCCATCTTTCTGTCAGTTGTACACCCATTTGGGGGATTGGAGCTCTTTGGCACCGTCCAGAGGAGAGCTCCTAGACACGCTGGTGTGAGTAATTGTGTAAACACTGACCGAAACGGTCGAAAACGGTATGCCCAGTGTGCTGTGCCGTCCACCACCCCCTCTCTTCCCACCTGGTTCCCATCAGCCTCCCCTGCGCCCACTGTGCCCTGCATCTGCACACTAGTGTGCCTACTTGGAGTACCCGTTTTCCACCTCTCCAAAGCCTCCTTCCCAATTCCCCAATGCTGAGACCCTCGCCCTGCCCCAGTGACCTCAGGGTATGTGTGGAGGCTTCAGGAGTGGCTCCTCAGTCACCTCAGGTAGAGCAGGAGAGGGCCCAGGGCCCAGGACCCGAGCTTCATCACTAAATTCATGACCCTATGGACAAGGAGGCTGAGCCTTGGACCGACGACCAGGGTCCAGGACTGTGGCTTCAAGAAGGCCATCTGCTGGGACAGCTAGCATTGTCCACAGATGGCAATGTTCAGGGCCAGAGCTAGGGAGGGTGTGTCAGGTTCCTTCCACCTGGTGGTGAGACCCGACCCCTCAATATGAGTGGAAACCCCAGCCCATCTGGAGCAGCTGAGGAGGTGGGCGCCGTGATCACTGTCATGATCTCAAGGTTGATGGGGAGTTTCATTCACGTTAATGTGAAGTTTCCAGAACGCTGCCTATGGGCATCTCCAAGTCCCAGTGTGCATTTGGGTTTCAGTTTGTCCTGGGTGTTGAGAACTAGTGTTGTGAATTGGTCTGACTGGCTGATACTAACAGTCATCTCTTTGTTTCTACAGAGGTTGCAGAACTTGAAGCGAATTTACCCTGTGAGTATTGCAGCTCCTGGCTCATCTTCAGTACGCTCTAATCACTGGCTGGTGGAGACAGATGGCTTACATTTCAGTAGTCCTGTGCATTGTGTTAGGGAGGGATTCGGATTCTGCCCTTGCAGTAGCGGGCTATCTTTTCAGACTCTGATAAGGAGTCGTCACACCCGGGCCAGGGTGGCCCACTGCACCTCCTACTGCGGCCACGGGGCTTCTCCCACCTGCGCTCTGCCCGCCTTCCTTGAGGAGTCTGGCTCTGGGAATCATTCACAAAGATTGGAACATTCGCCTCAGCTCCCAGTTGTCTTCTAATCAGACTTGAGATTCCATGAAAAGGCTATCTGGGTGTACACGGCGTATTTACAGATGACTCTTCCAACGGTCCTGTGGTGGGGACTGTGGTGGTCTCGGTGTCTCCGTGACATGTTTAGGGAAAGTGGGCACTGGCTCCTGCCAATGACCCTCTGGGCCTTCATGTCGCCTCGGAGTGTAGTACCTCGGGCCAGCTGGGTCTCTGGGCCATTTCCAATCTAAATGGCCTGAACTGAAATCCTACTGGGCTGGGTTTTTTTTTTTAGGGTTTTATTATTATAAAATATACAAGTGGACTTCAAAGAGCTTATGGGAAATTTCCTGTTGTCTTTCAATTTCATGTTTTCCACTAACATCTTGAGGAATCAAGCCGAGATCTCTGAGTGTATGGATGAACACAGTAGCTTTCTACAAGCGTCCCCTCCCCAGGGGCTAAGTCTGTGGCTTTTTTCCGCTGTGTCGTGACATTTGTGTGAAGGAGGTGGATGTGGGCTTTAGCCACCTTTCCCTGTCTGCACTGAAGCCCAGTAGCTCTTCTTCCAGTGGGAACCCTGACCTGATGCAACCACCTCCTGGCTCAGGAGTCATGGGTGCAGAACGCTGCCATCCAGGTCTGCAGAGCATCTTTAGACCAGCAAAGCGAGGCGAGTTAGTGGTTAGCTTTACACAAGAGCAGGCAAGTGTCCTATTGGACTCTTAGCTGGCACACTGCTTCTAGCATGGTGGGCATGGAAGGGCATGGGGTGAGGGGCGCAGACTGAAAGTTCGGCCTGGGATCTTCTCTTGTTTACACTCTTTAGTTAGCCCTGACACAAAGACATTGGTCTTCTTGAAATGGTTGGAAAGCCCTGTCAGTTGAGAGACGATGTGACGGTGAAAGGGAGATGTTGTGACTTGGGGTTAGCTCAGAGAAGAATCTAAAAAAGGAAAGGTGTGAGAAGCCTCGTATTCTCGTGTCGGGGGGGTCACCTGTCCAGCTGTGCGCCAGCCACATCAGCCCCTCCCCGCCTGACGAGCTTTCCTTTTGCAGGTACCTGTACAGTGCATTTTCCCGATCCCAACACACTCCACCGCTTCCAGCTGACTGTGTCCCCAGGTAATGTGCTCACGCGCCTCAGTGTCACCGTGATTCTCAAAGGCTGCCCAAACCTGTAATTGCTGACTTGATTTGTCCTCTCTGACTTTTTCCCTCTGAGGACTTTGTCCCTGCTTTGTAGTCACATGACACATAGAAACGTTAGTCTGAGGTCTGTGGCACCAGTAGTGGGTACAAACGTTACTCCCGGGATGGCGGTGAGTGGGGCTCCCAAGTCTTCACGGGGTTCAGCAGCAGGCCGGGGGTTAGCCTGTAACCCTCTGTAAAGTGGGGTCCCTGGAACCTGCCTGGGAGCTGAGCTGAAGGCTAGGTAGACAGTGTGTGGAGCAAGGGCCCAGGGTCCGGGCGAAGCAGGCAGAGATGAACAGCACCACTAAGGGGGGGCCATGCTGGGACAGCTGCAGGGGGCTGCACAGCCCACAAGGGGGGCTCTCTCCTGGGGAGGGGCAGCTCCTATCACCTGGATGGGGTGGGGCGGATGAGCAGGAAGTGGGGCCTGGGGTGCTGTGGCTGGATGGGGTGGGGAGGGTGTGAGTGAGAAGCTGAAGATGAGGAGTCAGCTGACTACGATGTGAAGAGAGAATTTCCATGTGCTAATGAGCCAGGACTGAGCGCTGGCCTGGTCTCGTTCCTGCTCCGCAGAGGTGCCAGCTGAAAGGCTGGTGTCACGGTGCCGATTGGACTTGTAGGACCCCTGGGTGGTTTTCCCAGGCTGTCGGTGTTTCCAGGAGCAGACAGCCTCCACTTTCTCTCATAGAGTGACTGGTGGGTGTGAACTGCTGACCTTGCAGTTAGCAGTCCAGTCCCCAAACCAGAATGTACCCGAACACTTCCTAAAATCCATTTTTGTCTCTGTGGTGGGTTTACAAAGGGCTCTGGGACACATTCTGTCAGTTTAGTGTTCAGTCCCGTCCTGCTGGGGTTCGGTGGGTAGCACAGTTGGTCCCTGGGGGCTGGGGTGGCACTGGGTGGGTACAGGGGCTAGCAGTGCTGGTTCCTGAGATGTGAAGTCAGCAGGGAGCTTTCAGGAACAACTTCTGGGCGGTGTCCGGCTGCCCCTGCATTCCCCCTCTGCCTGTCCAGGGTTCCCTTTTTGGCTGCTGGCCCTTTTGTGGTCCTTCCCCGCTCTGCCTTACCCCCCTTGGTGCTTGCTCCTGGTCACCTAAAGACCCTACCCTGGCTGAGTTTTGTAGAGTTGCCGCTGCCTTTTATGGTGGACTTTGTGGCAAGCTTCGCCTCTGGGTAAACTGGGTGGTTCTGACCGAATCCCATCAGTGGGTGGATTCTTGAGATGACATCTACAGCAGCATCTTTGATGTCTTTCCTGCTGCTCTTGGTCCAGTTTGGGAGGGCACTGTCCTGGGAGATGAGGAGCTGACTTGTGTTGGGTGCCTGCAAACAGGCATCTTCTCGGCACCTGTGGCTGGGATGGCGGCACACTAGGGCCACAACCACTGCCGTGAGCTGTGTGCTCGGCTTACTGTGCTGGAGAATCTGTGTGCAGTTGTTGTACCTGCGCTTTGCTTTCAAAGAAAGGACGGCTGAGACCTTTCAACCCGAAAGACGTGCCAATGTCTGCTTCTGGTTTTGTTTTTGTTTTGAAGAAATCTGTTTGGGGTCATGCTCCTGTTAGTACTGGGAAGTAGTGACAGTTAGGACAAGGAAGCGAGGTTGGACAATGTGTGAAGCAAGTGGTCGTGAAGAAGCCTGGAGTGGGGGGCCCTGGTGGCTTGGTGACTCTGGGCTTGGCAGCATTTGGAAGGAAAGGTCGGTGGTTCAAACCTGCCAGCCCCCTCTCTGCTTCTGTGATGATAGCAGCTGGGGAACCCGCGGGGCAGCTGTGCTCTGTCCTTTAGGGTCGCGGGGCGTCAGCCCACCCTGCCGCAGTGAGCCTGCTGTTGGGATAGATACCAGTCAGGTTAGAGGCGCCGGATCCACAGTGGCAGTCATTGATCTCCAGGGGGCCACTTAACTGAACTCAGTGCTTACCGTGGGACACGTGGCTTCCCTGACGTGACATGGTGCTTTCTAGATGCATCGTCTTGTAGAGCTTCCACTCAGTCTGTCTGGATGGACACTGGTCTCCAGCTGATGGCTGGACTGAGCGTTAGTGCTCGGGTCTTCTGTGGACATGGTGTTTCATTTTCCTGGAGAAGGGTTCTAGGGATGGGAATGCCGATGCCGGCTGGTATGGTCTTTGTGTCTGGAAGTGTGTAAGAAGCTGCACGTTTCTCAATCTGCTGCTCCATTTTGCCTTCCCACCAGCAATATATAATACATTGCTCTTGGTTCTCACCAGCATTTGGTGTCTCCCTTATTGGCGTGCCACCAGTACCTAGAACAGTGCCCGACACATAGTAGGCACTCGCCAAGTGTCTTCTGGGTAAATCAGTGAGCCAGAACAGGAACTATATTGTTACCTTTGATTATTGGCCGTGAAATAACATTTCCTCCGAGAACGAAGGCGATTGCTGTCAGCATCCTTCCTGCTCTGGTGCATGTGTTTGTGTATGAATCCGGCTGTCTTTTTGGAAGAAGGCTCCGTGTCGGGTTTCTTCCTGCACTTTGTCTTTGTAGATGTGAGTGTTGAGAAATGCTCACACATTAAAAAGACAGCCATGCAAGCTGTTGTGTGTCAGCAGTGCCATTATGTTCTCAGAGTTCAAAGTTAAAGGCCAAAAATCACATGACATATTTTCTTGATGTTTCAGCTGACTACATTAGATCCTTTGAAAGCGAGGAGTTACAGAAAGAAGGCTTTGTCCCCCTGTGATTAGCATCCCTTCACTGTGCAGTTTCTGGGGCATGTACCAAAGCCAAAAGCTGCTTTCCCAAAACCCTTTGAGGCATCGCGTTTTCCCAGAAGCCCTCAGAAAGCATAGGGGACAGGCAGTGCTGTTCATTCAACACGGCCTTCCCAGCATGATGTCTCCTTCAGAGCTAGTGGGGGCTCAGCTAATCAGGAATGTCTGCCGAAGCCTGATTCCTTCTTTCACTTCTTGTCCGGGGGTTCCTCGGAGCCATCCCCGTAGTCAGATGGGGGAGGCAGGGGTGAGGCGTTCCCTCACATAGTAATGGGATCGGAGTGTGAGTTCCATCTAGGCAGTGTTAGCCTTGCCCTCGGCACCTGAACCCAGACTCCTGAGGGGACGCCTCGCCCTGCCCAGCACAGAAATGGGTGGAAGCATTCATTTGAGGTGATCTGTTCCTGCCTGGTCAGTGGTGGTCAGTGCTGTGGTGGGTCTTGTAGTCATGGTGGTGATGATGTGTCATCCAGTCGGCTCTGACCCATAGCAGCCCTCTAAGTGAGCCCCTCTTCTGCCCACCCGTTGCAGTGCTGGGCTGAGCTCTTTCCACGGCCCACACTGGAAGAGAGAAGCTGGAGAGAGCCAAGCTCAGGAGGTGAAGAAGGTGATGGGGAATGGGAGAGGCTCCCAGGCTCCTGGCCGGCAGTCTTATGATTGGGACTGTGTGGTGTTTGGGCAAATCCAGTAACAGGCAGAGAGCTTATGCAGCGTAGACAAGGGGGAAAGCCTCAGGGTGTTTTCAGGAGGGATGGATTCCTGGAAACAGAAGAGAGATGAAATCAGAATGTCTTTGGACCTAACAGGCAGTAGGGTTGCGCTGTTTAATCATTGAGATGGCAAGCCAAGGAGAGGAGCGTTGGCATACAAGGACGGCACTTGCTGTTGAGGACGGGGCAGCATCTAATGTAAGGATGACAGTTATTCCTAAAGGCGAGGACAGTAGATTCTCAGTGAGCACTTTACAGTGACCATTTCTGTGGTTTGCCACCACTAGCTTCTACACATGGTGGTCACAGCCGGAATACATCAGGGGCTTCAAAAAGTTTTTAGAAATTGGATGAAAGACCATGGAATTTTTCCATAAACTGATGCCTACAGTGCCAAACTCTTGCGTTCTCATATTTGGACTGAGGGCACTTCTGTGGAATGTGAGCGTTTGGAGTGACTGAAATCATTTGAGATTTCCTGTGAGTGTCTTCCGCTGACAGCGGCCTCAGCGGCCCCTCCCTGCATGCAGAACCGAGCTGGAGTCCAGAAAGGGGGTGGGGGTGGGGTGGCTCAGTGCAGACCCTCCCAGGTGCCTGACAGCAGTTGGTCCCATAGTGTCGGCTGGCCAGGCCTGCTGGCTGTTCAGCCCTGGGGCCTAGTGGTGCTGGGTTGATACTTGTTATGCAGTGGTACTTGTGGGGAGCCAGCCTGGGACAGATAGTCAGCTCTAGTCACCTCCCTGGGGGAGACAGCAGCGAACAGAGGAACGAGCCACGTAAACAGGGTGGTTACCATGGTGAGACGCAGCAGGCGTACACTTGGTGCTGAGGTGTGGAAGGATGTTGAGGATCGTCCTGATTGCCTGTCTTCCAGAAGGTTCCTCAGGGGAAACAGACCGCCAGGGGGTCCCATAGTGCCCGCGATCAGCTCCGGGACAGCATTTGGTGACTTTCAAGGCACTGTTTCCGTTCCAGTTTTAAGTCTTCAGTATAAATCCTCTGTATTTCCCTGTTATCCTAGTAGAGTGTTTGCTTTTGTTCGCTTTGGTTTATTTAAATTTTAAAGGTGTTTTGTTTTTTTTCTGTTTTCTGATAGATGAGGGTTACTACCAGGGTGGAAAGTTTCAGTTTGAAACTGAAGTTCCTGACGCATACAACATGGTGGTGAGTAGACGGCACTGGAGCCCCTGCCCGGGGGCCACTGTCTCACCACCCCTCCTGTGCTTCTCCACCGGGGAGGGGGGCGATAGGTAGAATTTCCACCAGGAAAGTCACTCACTGGGCAGATAGGTAGTGAGGAGTTGGTGCTCAGCACTTTTCCCTGAGAATCCAGCTGTGCCAAGGGCATTTCCAGTAGATTCCACCTGAATCCTTTTTCTGAGGCTGGTGCCCTCCTGTGAGCAGCCTGCCTCGTTTACATACAGCTCCTCAAAGTATGGCACTGAAGAAAAAGGCATATGTATAGACTTGGGGAATAATCCCGAATCCCCAAAGTCTATAACATATGTGTTCTAATTCAGCAAAGAAGAGCGACTTCGTGGTTTTAAACTGTGAGTCATTTATAAAAGCAGACCCGCTGCTGCCGAGTCGATACTGAACCCTGGGACCCTCAGTAGGGTCCCCAAGGCTGTAAGTCTTCACAGGAGCCGTCTGCCGCTTCTGTCTCCTTTGGAGGAATGAGTGCTTGTGAACTGCTGACCTTGCACTTGGCAGTCCAGTGCCTAACTCCAACATCACCAGGGCTCCTTGTCTAGAGCCATAGCTACATTTTAATCCTGACAGACCTTCTAGGTAACAGTCACACCTCCAAGTATCCAGGAGTCCTGGGGTGGCACTGTAGGATCAGCACTGGACTGTGAACCACAAGGTGGGCCATTCCGACCCACCAGCCGCTCCTCAGAAACCCTACACAGAGTTGCTATGTGTTGGAACAACACCAACCAGGGTAACTGTCTTGTCTTTTGAGGAGGTTGGCGTAGCACTTAGGAAAGTGGGAGGTCAAGACTAGGAAGTTGGATGGTGGATAATCAAAGGAGCAGCCCACAGCGCCTCTGCTAACTGATGAGAAACTCACGTAGGAGGATTCAGATTGAGCAGGAGAGCTCTCAGGGGAAAATGGTCTGGGCCAGCCAAGGTGTTACACAGAGAATTCGAGTAGTCAGACTCAGGTCCCCCAGGTGCTAGGGTACAGTTCCGCATCTGCGGCATGGTTTTTACCTGAGGCCACACTACTTCTCTGTAGAAATCTATCTTTTCTGGCCCGCTAGTGTAGAGTTCTTGTTGAGAAGTGGTCTATGGAAATGAAGGAGCCGGTGCTCTAAGAAAGAAGCCGACGACACGCACTTGGTGGACTTTTCTGGAGTGGTTCTCTGCCCACCTGGCTGTCTGCTGAGACCTGCTCTAGTTCCCAATTTATCAGACCCTGGAACACCGCCTCAGGTAGAAGGAGTTTAAGTACAGACCTTAGAAGGGGCCCTGGTGGCGCCAGGGGTAAAGCGTTGGGCTGCTAACCAGAAGGTCAGCTGTTCTAGCCCAGTCGTCCTCAGGAGGAAGGTGAGGCTGTCTGCTCCAGTAAAGATTTACAATATCGGAGACCCTCTAAGGCAGTTGTACCCTATAGGGTTGTTATAAGTCAGAGTCGATTTTAGGAGTCCGTCTATCCCTGTAAGGTTGTTATGAGTCAGAATCGATTTAAGGGCAGTGGTTTATAGCCATTTAGAATTTGGGGACTATTTGGGTGGTTTCTGGAAACAACTAGGCATATGGCAGCCCCTGCTGGTTGAGACTCTTCCTGGTGGCCTTCGCTCCTGGAGACTTGGGTTGGAGAGAGCCACTGCCGAAGTAGGCTGGGGGCTGGGCATGTGGTTTGCTTTCCTCCTGGGAATGATGTGTATCAGCCCCTTACATGTTACTGGTCCAGTCAGCTGTGGCCCGAAGACGTGAGGAAGGCAGTCCTGACACCCACAGGGTGATTCCTGGACTCCCCTCCTTTCATGGAACGTATTGTACTTTGTAGGGAATTTAGAAAACGATGGGTATATAAAAATAGCGAATTAGTCCCCGCCACCCTGGGATAGGGACCATTCACTCGTTGATGTGTGTCACAGACGGTAATTAGACCCAGAGCATCATGTTTTCTAGACACACAGTAGCTTGTACTCAGGTAGACAGTCTCATGTTAGTAACATACATAATTACACCAACATCAGTTAAGAGCATTTCACTACACACAGACACCGTGAGTTCCATCAGCTTGTCAGCCAGCTGTTGATCGAATAAACCAGATCCTCTCTGTACAGTGCCTGGGAATCACTATTTTAGGCTTTGTAGGCCATACTCAGTCTCTGTCTCATATTGTATTGTATTTTTTAACAACTTTTAAAAATGTAAAAGCTATTTTTAGCTCTCAGACCTCACAAGGCCAGGCCCCCAGGCTCCTGGCATAAAGACTATGGTGAGGTGTGTATCATACACACATCTGGCAAGATGTCCACCTCTGTCCTTTGCGTAGCTCCCTCGACATGGCATTGTGGAGTTTGAGGAACTGACGCCCATCTTAAAGCTCTTGGTAAATACTAAGTTAGAGAGGTTGTGCCGCGTGTTGGTCTCACCATCCATGATGGAGGAGTCTTTGTCTTGCGTCCGGGGAGATTGCTTCTCTCCATTGGCTGCTGATTTTTTCAGTTATTTTGGGAGGACGTACTTGCATCATATCATTGTTTGAATTTGCATTTCTTAAATAAGTAGGTTGCTGCCTGTAACTCCTACTTATTGTTTGTATTTTTATGAGCTGCTCTTAGGTCCTTTGCCTGGTGTTCCACTAGGGCATTGTTGGCCTTATAGTTTTATATAAATTATATGAAACCTTTTCTTAGCTGTGTTCCTTGGAGACCCTCTACAGGGTTGCTATGAGTTGTATCCTACTCATTGGCACTACATAACAACAACAATGCTCTAAGTGAAGTCCTGGTGTGGTGCTGTAGGACAAGCACGGGACTACTAGGGCGGTGGTTCAAACTCACCTGCTAGTCCTCAGAAACCCTATACTGGGTTGTGCGATTTGGAACCGACTCAACGGCACTTAACAACATGCTCCAAATATTTTCCTTGGTTTTCATTTGTATTTTTGTGGTCATTCTATAAAAATTAGTTTTCTTTTGCTATGACAAACAAATCTATTTTTCCTTTCCATTTTATGAAATGGATCACACCGGTCCTCGGACCCTGAGGTGCTTCCTCTGTATTTTCTTTCAGTTACACATCCTCTCCATGTAGTTTCCGTGGGTCCAGAATGAGCTCTGAGTGGCACTTCCAGTGCATTTTCCTAAAGGTTAGGCCGCTGGCCGCAGGGGGACCAACTGCCCCCTTGCTTTGGGGTGCACTGTAGTCACACAGCGGTTGGGCAGCGGGGCCTGCAGGCCATGGAGAAGCTGTTGGGTGCCTGCCTGCTCTGGTGGCAGTGACGAGAGTGCCAGACTGGTCATGTTGTGTTGGAGCGTGGAGTCCCCAGGTGCAGGCTCTGGGCTCTGAGGCTGAGCTGTACTCTCTCCTCCTGCACAGAGGAGCAGTCTGGGTCGGCTGCTTCACTGGGGACGGAACGGAGGAGCTGGAAGGAGGAAGGAGAGAAGCAGACCCTCACAGCTGAGCATGGAGGGAGGGAGCTCACCCTTCTCTTTGGTTCCCACAAATGCTGGAGTCCATGGTCCTGTCTCAGCCCCAGGCTGCCACACTGTCCCCTTCTTGAGAGGACTTCTACAGCCCTGCTCGACATTGTGCTGCTGACCACGTCACTGCAGCCTCGGGCCTCCCCTCAGACAGGTGCCTCACTTTAGGCGCACCTCTGTGTATCTGCAGAGAAACAGCCACGGCTCGTTAAATGTAATCGGACTCAGAATTTGAGTTCTGGATTTAGTCCACAGATGCATTAGACCTTTCCACATGTGCTTCAGTGATCGGTAGAGTCTAGTGATTTTGTGGTGGTTTGAAACCAGAAAGAAAATTCATTAGCGTTCCATGAAAGTTTGCCTGTATTGTGCACATTAGAACATGGAGCTGTATCAGGTAGGCATGAGAGTACTGACATGCTTCTGGTGGAGAGGCATTCCCTGAGTGTACTTTTAAAAGATAGTGATTGACTCAGAGGATAAAAAGGGCCACACCACAAACAAGAATTCGCACTGAAGCTACGCTGGTGCCATGTGGCTGCAGTTGACAAAGTCTGGAGACCTTTAGAGTCTGCGATCCAAGTCTGCTGAGAAGTCGGGAGACTCATCTGCGGCTGCTCCAAGGCCCGTGACCCGAGGACTCGTGCTGTGGTGTGTGGGGTCGTAGCCTTCCCCACCGTGAGGACGCTGACCAGAAAGTCCTTTTCCTGGCCTTAGTCCCAAGGACGTAACTGAGAATGTGGCGGCAGAGAGAGGCCACGGAACGAGCCGTACTAGAGCATGGCTTGTTGGGCGTTAGCCGGCCCACGCTCCCCTTTCTGTAACCTTCACAAGGCCTTCTCCAAACACACACATCCGGTAATGAGAGGCCGTATTCCGAGGAGACACAGGAGTACTTCTCTCCTCATCTCTTGTCTTTGTTTCTTAAACAAGTTCATGAGGTGCTGTTGTAACAGAGAACTCACAGTGCACCCCACGGCGGCACTTTCCACCTGGTCGGTCCTCACTTTAGTTCCTTCCCCCTCTTTACTGCATGAACTGGACCAGGGCATTAGTCTAAGCAGGTGTGTGCTGCAGTAGCATCTGCAGAAACCTCAGGAAAGGGACACTCATGCCAGGTGCAGTGACTTTAGTCAGAGGCTTCTGTGGCTTGCTCATGGGCTCTAGAGGCCCGGAGAACGCAGGGTTCCTCCCTGACGGGGTCACTGCCAGATGGGACATGAGGCCTTGGTGGAAGTTCTGTGACTGCAGCAGTAGATTTGGGGTGCAGACACACTTTCTGGATGATATTCGGGTTACAGTATGTCCTTGGTGAGGTGCAGGAAGGGCTGAGGAGGCAGGGACACAAGTGAATACCTACTGAGCGTGACCCGTGGTGGCTTGGGGCTGAGGTACTTGTACCAGGTATGACCCTGTGGTGGGTGGGCTATGGATGTGGCTGCTGTGGTTTGGGAGACCATCATTTCTCTGTTTTGTAGCCCCCCAAAGTGAAGTGCTTGACCCGAATCTGGCACCCCAACATCACAGAGACGGGAGACATCTGTCTGAGGCAAGTTCCTTCTCTTCCCTTCTCTTCCCTGAGTGCAGTGGTTTGGTCACGTGCCCTGTCTTCTGAGAGGAGATGGAAAACCTCCCCTCAGGCTAAGCTGTATCAGCTTCTATCCCACCTGCACCTGCTTATTGGCCCCTTCTGGCTGAGGCCCTGGCCTGGCTCTCAGGACAGCCTGTGGCTAGGGGTCCCCCTCCTGTTGCAATGAGGTCACTGTTCCCTCCAGATGGCTGGTTTAAGCTACAAGGGCAAAGTATGATTGATAAAATCCAGAAAATGAAATGTGGACGCCAGGCCTCAAAAGACTTGGGCCCTGGGGACTGAAGCTGTCCTCTTTGTAGCAAGCTGGTTTTGATGTACCTGGGGCACTTTGGTGAGCCATCTCAATGAGATTGTGTACCGTTTCCAGGGGCAGAAACCTTGCTTTCCCACTTGGCTTTGAATGTGTGGCTGTGTGGATTTAGACCCTTTTTCCGTTTGGGCTTAGTCCTCTGTCTGTAACTTCCGGGAAGGCAAAGATGTTAATTGCAGGAGCTCTGGTACCTGACCCTCTGGGTTGGAGTCTCAGCCTCCTCCCTCCGCAACTTGACAGCCATGGGACTCTGAGAAAGCCATTAGCCCGTAAGGACCTCAGCCCAACCAGTGTGACATCCAACACAAGTCAAAAGTCAGCGGGGAGAAATTGTGGCAAGGGCAGTACTTCCAGCAGTATCACGTGACCAGACAGACTGCTCCTGCTAATCTCGTGGGTTTTGTGTCGGTTCCAGTTTACTGCGAGAACATTCTATTGACGGCACTGGCTGGGCTCCCACCAGGACGCTGAAGGTAAGTGTGTGGCCCCTTCCCATCCCCCATAGCGAGCATTTCCTCCTAGGTCCTATAGTGACACACCTGTCATCTCTGTGGTAACACACCCTGTCCCTGTGGTGACATACACCCCCATCTCTAGTGACATCCCTGTCTCTGGTGACACCCCATCTCTGTGGTGACATATTGACACAGCCATTTTTCTGTCTGTCCCCTCAGCACACTGAGCTCATCTTCATCCCCAGCAGCGGCTCCATCTTCATCCCCAGCAGCGGCTCAGCCCAGGGATTCAGGGGCAGCATAGATGGGGCAATAATGAGAGAAAGCGATGCAAGCTGCCATGTGTTAGATGAAAATGAAACCCGCCTAACAGAGACACGCTCTTCATCTTCCTGAGATCAAGTCACAAATCACAAGTTAGCACAGAGAACGTTGGGTTTCATTTCATTTTAATGAAAATCTTTGGTCCTTGACCTAATTTTAGAGCAAACTATCGAGGCTTTCTGCTCCCATAAAGATTTACAGCCTCGGAAACCCTGTACAGGGTCGCTATGGGTTGTAACTGACTCAACGGCACTTAACAACTACAATGAGAACCCAGTGGAGGTGTGTTCTTGGCTTATGTATTACCTCCATGTGGCTAAACTGGCAGATTCTTTGTCATGTAAGGTGACTTGAGAGGTCTGGGCTGTATTTGGTGACAGCTGGTGGGTTTCAGGCGAAGCTGGATTGTGCACCCGAGCGAGGTGTGTGGCCTCCTGGAGTAGCATTGGTCCTGACTGCACCAAATGTGTCCTTGCTGGGCTCACCTTTTCACGCTAATGTCGTGATTTTCTGTCTTGACAAGAACAAAGCATGTGTGGTAAAGCTTTTATTATTCATTGAGTGAGTGAAGGCTTACATGGCAGATCCTCATTTTACATTCAGCAGATCACTGTAATGATAGAATCCCCTCCATGCACCCTTAGCCAACAGTACTAACTACTTACCTCATGCCTTTTTTTTGGATGTATACATACCACATTGAAAATACATACTCATTTAAATGTCCAAAGGGCACATTTTGCAAGCCAGCCTCCTGCCCGAAGGCACGCTGTCTTCCTCAGTCTGTGGGCCTGGAGGTCTCTGCTGCTCTCTCTCTGCGCCATTGCCTCTGCCACCATCTCTGTTGTCGCTGCTTTTCTGGTTAGGACCCCTCGCTCCTCTCATGTTCCTCCCTCTTGATGGTCCTCTATACTTGAAATGACAGATTAACTGCTATTCCCATTTAGTTGTACCTCTTCTTTATTTACAGTGGTGATAATCGCCAAATTACTCACAATTAAATCATAAAATCCTATCCCCTTCATCATTTGAACCCATTTGGACAAAAGGAAAACTAGTTGGCTTTCTGTCTTAACTCCCCTCATTCTGACCCTAAACACCCTCATGAAAGCTTGTAAGCCAGCCACTTCATGCCTTTTTAACCCCCCAGTTTTGATAGCCGAAGTCTAAGTTGCCCGTCCCTATCAACCCAGTGTACTGAGGAGGCACACTTGACCATAGATATGAAGAATTCTTCCCTGTTCGTTGGAATTTGGGGCAGCTTCATCCATAATGTTTCTTGATCATGGATTTAAAATATTTAAGCCTCAGGAACCTGAAACCTGTCTTTTTCTTTATTTCAGGATGTTGTTTGGGGATTAAACTCTTTATTTACTGTAAGTATGTGGTTCGGCTTCCTAATATTTTGTTTTCCTTGACTTCTGCTTTTAACCATCACATTTAAAATAACACAAGGGGATTTAAATGTCCCTGGAAGCCCCTTCCCATGTGCCCCTGTGTTTGTTGCACTTTTATGAGTTAGAGAGGGGAGCAGTAGTGGTCAGCAGGGAGGGTGTTGGGGATGAGGCTCCCTCACCTTCTGGGGGTCCTGGGTCAGTGCCATGTGCTTGGACTAGTCACGCCTTTAGGTGTGCCACCTCTAGTCCCCAGCTGGGCCTGTGGTCCTGGCACTGTGACCCCTCCTGCCCTGGGATTTCTGTTTAGAGGAATAATCCATGCTCACCCATCCTGTTAGTCTTGTCACTGAGGACTGGTGTTCCCCTCAGGGAGAAGGTGACAGGACGACCAGTGAGGTCCTAGGAAGGGCACAGCGTCATGTGGGTGTCTTAGCAATGTCATTTGTCAAATGTCATTTTCACGTTTTAATTTAAAAAAGACAGAGGGCTTCACTGGAAATAAACTTCAGAGAACTGCTTCTAAAAAAACAAAATACTGCAACTTTTGTTAAAACCTAGTTCGTCCGCATGAAAGCTAGCCCCCCTAGGACTGATTGCCCAGGATAGCCTGGCATCCTGGTAAGTGCAGGCCTGTGGACCTGGCTCCGCGGCCCTGCCATTCCCTGGGCGGAAGTCTGCTGGTTCTCACCCCAGAGTCATTGGCGTGGATGAAGTACCAAGGTCGAGCGTGATCTACGATCTACGATCTGCCCAGTGGTTGTGCTTCATGGTAATGATGAGTCTGCTCATCTTTGGCTCTGGTTGAGGTGGTTGGTAGCTCAAGTCCTACCAGAGGGTCACACACCATCAATGTCACCCGCAGCCACATGGATCCTTCTGGAATCCACCATACCTCCCACAGGTTCTGTGGCTTGTGAAGCAGGTTTGACTGATGACTTTACCGGGGAATTCATGGGAGGAAATAAATGCAAATTCAGTCGGTAGTGATTACCCCAGTGAAGGTTCGTTTGAGGTCAAACGTATAGTTAAAAACATAAGACATTTTCTGGATCTGACTTAGTTGGTACATTAGGTAGCTCAGAGTATAGGTACTTTATATTTTTGCCCATTGCCAAGACTTAGAATTTTACAACTGGAATTGATCTCAGAGGTTTATAATTTTTCTTTACTCTGTTTATGACATATGATTCGTCATGTCCATATTTATTTCCATGTCAAAGGTATAATCCCCCAAATGAACATGGTTGTGAGGAGAATTGTGCTTGTCTCTGAGTCGTTCACTACCTATGGCATGCTGAGGAAAGCAGTAACACGAGCCATTGTTACCACTGACTTTCCAGAAGACTGAGGAGTGTCAAGATCAGACAGGGCCTCTGAATGGGCATTGAACCTTTCTTCTGGGGTGTTTCTGGAGGGATCAGGAGCCCAGCCATTCAGGTGGTTTTCTGAGAGAAGAGAGATCCCAGGGCAGGCGTCCGGTGAGGTTGCAGACAGTTGTGCCGCAGGGAGCGAGTGTGATGCTCGTGTTCATGAACTGCAAGGTGAGAACAGAGAGCTTACCTTACAAAGGCCGGGTTACAACTCCGGTAGAACAACACATTGCTAGTAAGGGACTGTGGGTTTTATTTTTTTAATGGGTTTCATTCTCCAGTTATCAAAAACAGCATGAGGGATTTCTTTGACGGTGGTTCCTGCATTTTCTCCAGCCCCTCGAGTTTCATGTACACATGGTCCCAGCGCCGTTCAGCCAAGTCTGCCAACTTGGACCCCCTCCTGTATACTCGTCAGGGGCTCTGGTGGCACAGTGGGTTCACCATTGGACTGCTAACCAAACGGTTGGTGGTTCAAACTGACCAGGAAGACAAGGCTGTGCTCCTGTGTCAAGTTCGCTTCCTGGGACAGCCTTTGGAGCCGTTCTCCTCTGTCTTTTAGGGTCACTGTGAGCTGGAACTGACCGGTGGCAGTTTGACAGTACTCCTTCCTCCAAAAAACTGTGGTTCTTGCTAAAATTTCACAATTCTCCAGGTCATTCTGCCTCTGTTCAGTAGATTTCTGCTGCCTGCTTTGTAAAAGAAAAGCTGATCGCAGCAGAAAAACAGAATTTTTCCTTGTTGACTCAGAGTTTCTCTCTTTTTAAGGATCTTTTGAATTTCGATGACCCATTGAATATTGAAGCAGCAGAACATCATTTGCGGGACAAGGTGAGCTAGTAGCAGGTTTATTCTAGGAGATGCATTGTATTACAAAGATCATTACTTTCTCTTGATTCTGTCAGTAAGAAATAGAGAATAGTGCGATCCTGTATTGAAATTGAAAGCAATTGGTGAATTCTCTGTCTGTAAAAATGGTCCCAAACAGCAGTGATTGTGAGGATGACATGGACCAACAAGCACCGAGTCAGTCTGTTGTACATTAGGGTGCCGTGAGTCAGAGCTAACACAGCGGCCCCCAACAACTACAGAATGCCTTATAGTAAGTGTGAGTATTCAGAGAAAAGCGTTTTAGCCAAGGTCAGAAGGAAGTAGTCGTGCATAGGTGTGCTTCTCCAGGCACGTTCAATAGGAGACGTTTGAAACCGCACATTATTTTACTGACAGTGGAGACGTGGATAGGGATGGTGAACAAATCATACAAGTGTGAGGGAGAATGAAGGACCCTAGCTGTGTGTTAAGAGAACATGAAGAAATTGTAGACACTTAGCAGTGATAGACATGTGAGGAAGAAAGAAGAAATCTGACATGTGAGAGGGGATGAAATCATATGCGTGTCTGAGGGTAAATGAAGAAATCACACATGTGTGAGGGAGTGTGAAGGAACCACAGATGTGTGTAAAGGCACATGAAAGTGACAAACGTGAGGGAACATGAAGAAATCGTAAATGTGTGTAAAGGATTATGAAATCACAGACATGAGGGAACATGAGGAAATGACATGCGAGGGAGTGTGAATTAACCACAGACGTGTGGGGGAATGTGAAAATATCACAGATGTGTGTGAGGGAGCATGAGGAAATCAGAGTGAATTGACCAGATGTGTGAGAGAGCCTGAAGAAATCACACACGTATGTGAGGAGGTACGAAGAAATCCTCCATGCCCCTTCCTGCACATATCCCGTGACCTCACGTGCTCCCAGATGGACCTGCTGCCCATTGTGCGTGCTGCCTGCTGACCTCGTGGTCCTGCAGGCCTGTGTTGTCAGCAAAGTCACAGGCATCAGCTGACAGCTGTGGACAGATGGTGTGCCCTTCCGTTGACCCTTCTTGGGAAGCCCTCCCCATGCAGCCTGGTCACACTGAGCCTCGAGAACGTGACTACACATCGGAGAGCAAAAGCGTGGTGATGGGGAACAGGCTGCAGACGCCAGCAGAGATGTTTTAAATCAGCTTTGATTTTTCTTTGACAGTTGCTTTCTGCTCTTGGTCAGAAATATGGGAATACTGTGTACCTCAGATCCCCCAAACCATAACCCAAATCCCACTGAGCTCTGAGAAATGCCCCACTCTTCATGTGTTGTGACCACCTTTTCCAGAGGATGCCACTGTCCAGGGGTGTGAGGATGGCACTTCACAGCACCCCGACCTGGCGTGGGGCTCTGGTGGCCTCTGAGGAGTGGACACATCTTAAAAAGCAGGAGATTCAGGGACGAGACCCTCCTTGGGAGCACTCCATGAATGTTTATAGGGACCGTGACCTCACTGCCCCCAGCCTCAAAACCAACAAGATAACCCTGCCTCAGAGTGCCGTTTCCGCCCCTGCCATGGTCCCTGTACACAGGAGGTCCCACCTAACCTTCTAGGTCCCTGACGCCCCTCACAGTGGCTCTGCCTGCTTCCTGCAGTGTTGTTTCCACTCACTAACTCACACCCTCCTCTTCCTTCTCCCAGGAGGACTTCCGGAATAAAGTGGAAGACTACATTAAGCGTTACGCCAGATGATACAAGGAGAGGCCTGCAGGACCAGGGATTGCGTGATGCCGTCATCTGTAACGTAACCACCAAGAACAAGTTCCTCCTTCCCACCCTCACGTGCCCTCTCTGCCCCGCCGGGCTGTCAGCTCGAGACCAAGTTGTACTGAAGAACAGCTCCACAACTGCCCATTGGAGACGGAGACGTCAACACACAGCAAGAAATGGACCTTGGGTTCTAAAGAGTTGTCTGCTTACCTTAACATGTTTACTCTGTTTGAAGCTCTGCTGTACAGGCTGTTGGAATTCTTACGAAGTTTTAATGAACTCAAAGTTGAGGCTAGAGTTTGCTCACCCCTTCCACATGCACCATTTCCTGCACAGATGATGCTAATGACATGTTCGGTGTGACCCACAGATTGACATGAGTAAACTGCTTGGGTTCCACTTCTCAGCCCCCGCCGCGCGGCCCCACCCAGACCTCACCAAGTTCCCAGAATGCATAGAACCACTTAACTGTCTACCTTACTGAGATGCGGTTTTTAATTTAATGTAAGTATATTTTGGAACAGATGTGTCATTTGTACAATTTAATGCTTTAATGATTTTTTTCCCTATCCTCATTTAGTCTATTTTCATTGTATAGAGCAGTCAGAAAGATGTTGGGTCAAGCAGTTATTGAAGAGAAATACAAAGGAAATACAAAAAAGACAATCCCTTTTGTCCATGTGCAGTGAGAATCTGGCCTTTTAAACAGATCTTTTAGGTGAGGGGTGGTTAGAAAGTTTGGAGCCTCTGAGGGTAGACTGGGATCGAACTCAGAGAAAACACATGAGCCCTTTCTCATTCTGAAGGTACGGCTCTTGCTGTGTTATTGAACCACAGAAACACTTGATCAGAGCCGGGCCCTTGCAGTCCCCAGGGCGGGAACCCACCACACGTGGGGGGCCCTCTGTAGCACACAGTGGTGCTGACGTCATCCAGCACTGAGCCTCCCAAGCCCAGAGCCCAGGGGTGAGCATGGGCACAGGCACGGTCCAGTGGGTCCACATGGGAGCAGGGACAGAGCAGTACCCAGGCCTCCGGCCCTGGGACAACAAACACATGATACGTGTTGGTACATTTCACTGCCTGCTTCCTGGGGACCTGGGTTCCCACAGCTCTGACCTCCCTGGAGACCCAGTCTCCTGCGGGTTCTGAATCAACTCGACTGTAGTTAACAGCAGCGACAGTGGGTACCGCTTTCAGACAGAAGTGATGTGGACCAATTATCTGAGGAATGCCTTCGGTTCCATGTGCAACTCTGCTAGGAGTCTTGGTATGGTGCTGTAGAATAAGCACTGGACTGCTAACTGTAAAGTTGACAGTTCAAATCCAACCTTGGAAGCCCTACAGAGGGTTGCCTCAGAGGACATTGAGCCTGAACCAACTTGACAACATTTAACAACACAATAACTAGGCCTCAGGAAAAAGACTGTCCCCTCCCGCTTCTCTACATCCGACCTGTCCTAGGCCACCTTCTCATTAAAGCAGCCCCTGGCCCTCCTTAAAGGGAAGGTGTCCTGACACCGGAGTGGGATCTTGGATTTCAGGGAATCACAAGACCCCACTCTAATCTGCCCGAGTTCCAAACACTGAGACTCCAGGCATTCTTGCCCACCTGTGGGGAGACCAGGATGAGAAACCCAGGCGGCTGCCAGGAGCTAAAGCACTGGTCTTGAGAACAAAGACCCCTCCCCCCCACCATCTGAAAAGTTCACATACCCCAGCATTTGGTGGTTTATATGGTTTGGAGGGCACATTTCCCCTGCCCTCAGTGGGTGACTCAGCCACAAGCTCCTACACACTCCCAGAATGCCATGGGAGTGAGACACCAGTGCTCAACCCTGCCCCAGACAAGCCAGTGGCCTCAGACCACAGACCCAGCCTGTTTTCTCCAACTCAGGAGCATCCAAAAAGAGCCTGAACTGTCGGTGCTGAAGAGTTGGTTCCAGCTCATAGTGACCATATGCACACCAAAAGGAAACACTGTCTGGTTCTCCTACATCCTCACAGTTGTGTTTGAGCCCATTACTGCTGCAGCTGGATCAGTTCATCTATTTGCAGGTCTCCCTCTTTTTTGCTAACCCTCAAATTTACCAAGCTTGATGTCCTTCTCCAGGGACTGGGTCCTCCTGATAATGTGTCCAAGTATAAGAGATGAAGTGTCACCATCCTGGCTTCTAAGGAGCTTTCTGGTTGTGCTCTTCCAACAAATTTGATTTTTCTTCTGGCAGTCCAAGGAACTTTCAATATTGTGCAATAACATAACTCAAATGCATGAATTTTTCAGTGGAATTCCTTATACATTGTCCAACTTCCCCATGCGTACGAGGCATACATATGCATACCACTGCTTGGGTCAGGCACACCTTAGTCCTCAAACTGGTATCTTTACTCTTGAACACTTTAAAGAGGCCTCATGCAACAGATGTGCCTGGTGCAATATGTCCTTTGATTTCTAGAATGCTGCTTGCATGAGTTTTGATTGTGGGTCCAAACAAAATGAAGTCTTTTGACAGCTTCTATGGTTTTCTCCATTTATCATGATGTTATTTATTGCTCCAGTTGTGAGGAGTTTCGGGTTTTTTTTACAATGAGGTGCAATCCATAAAGAATGCTGTAGTGTTGGATCTTCATAAGTAAATATTTTGTCTTTGCTTCCAGCAAGCAAGATTGTATCATCTGCATATCATAGGTTGTTAATGAGCCTTCCTCCCATCTTGATGCCACGTTCTACTATATATAATCCAGCTTCATGCATTATTGGATCAGCATACAGATTAAGTATGGTGAAAGGATACACCCCTGACACACAACCTCTATTTTAAACCATTCAGAATTGCGTTGTTCTATTCTAACAACTTACTGGTCTACATACAAGTGCCTCATGAGCACAATCAAGTGTTATGGGATACTCAGCTTGTCATTAGCCACACATTCAAAAGCCTTGGCATAGTCAATAAAGCACAAGTAAACATCTTTCTGGGTGTCCAGGTATGAGGATTAATGCACTGGGCTGCAAGGTCATTTGACTCCGAAGGGCAGCAGTTAAAGCTCACCTGCCACTACTCGGAAACCCTATACAGGGGTGCTAATCAACAGTACTTACCGACAACAAACACCTTTCTGATAATTCTCTGCTTTCAGCCAAGATACATCTGGCATCAGCAATGATATCCCTCGTTCCACATCCTCTTCTGAGTCCAGCTGAGTCTCTGGCAGCTCCTTGCTGATGTACACTCCTGCAACTGCTTTTGAAGTATGTTCAGCAAAATTTTACTGGCATGTGACATTAATGATAATGTTCGATGATTTCCATTTTCTATTGGGTCACCTCTCTTGCAAAGGGCACCAATCAGTTTGGTACCTGTCTTCCAAATGTCCTAGATGAGTGAGTGACTCCAGTTCTGCATCAGTTTGGGGAAAGATGTCAATTTGTTTTCCATCCGTTCCTGGAGGTCGGGTTTTTTACCAGTACCATCAGTGCAGTTGGGATTTCTTCCTCCCATTGGTCCTTCATCATTGAAACTGTTGGATGTCAGCAATTTCCTTTGGGTACAAGACTCTGTATGCCTTCCACCTTTCTTTTGATACATCCTGTATCATTTGGTATTTTACCATGGAATCTCAATATTGCAAATCAATGATTGACTTTTTATTCAGTTCTTTCAGCTTGAGAAATATCAGGTGTGTTGTAATTCCAGGTCTTTGCACATTTCATGATAATGCTGGACTATGCCTTCTCGAGCTGCCCTTTGAAATGTTCTGTTCTGCTCTTTTACTTGTCTATTTCTTCCATTCATTTTAGCATCTCTATGCAGGAGATCCATCACTCATCTGTCAGTTTGTCATACAGTGGTGGCTTATGTGTTGCTGCGATTCTGGAAGCTATGCCAGGGGGATTTTAAACACCCTGCGAGTAGAGTTTTACTAAAGGTTATACAGAAATGGCTGCAAGCGTACATTGTCAGAGAACTTCCAGAGGTTCAAGCTGGATTCAGAAGAGGCCGTGAAACGGGAAATATGTTAATGTCCGATAGATCTTGGCTGAAAGCAGAGAATACCAGAAAGATGTTTACCTGTGCTTCATTGACTATGCCAAGGCTTTTGATTCTGTGGATCATGACAAGCTATGGACAACATTGAGAAGTATGAGTATTCCAGAACACTTAATTGTACTCATGAGGAATCTGTACATGGACCAAGAGGCAGTTGTTTGAACAGAACATGGGAACACTGAATGGTTTAAAATTAAGAAAGGTGTGGGACAAGGTTGTATTCTTTCACCATACTTATTCAACCTGTATGCTGAGCAAATAATCTGAGAAGCTGGGTTCTATGAAGAAAAACGTGACATCAGGATTGGAGGAAGACTCATTAACAACCTGCAATATGCAGATGATACAACCTTGCTTGCTGAAAGTGAAGAGGACTTAAAACGTTTACTGATGGAGATCAAAGACCACAGCCTTCAGTGTGGATTACATCTCAATGTCAAGGAAACAAAAATCCTCACCACTGAACTAATCAACAACATTCTTATCAATGGAGAAAACATTGAAGTTGTCAAGGACTTTCCTTCTTCTTGGATCAACTATCAACACTCAGGGAAGCAGCAGTCAGATATCAAACAATGTATTGCATTAGGTAAATCTCCTGCACAAGTCATCTAAAGTGTTGAAGAGCAAAGACTTCAGCTTGAGGACTAAGGTGCTCCTTGACCCAAGCCATGATATATGCATGCAAAAGCTGGACAGCAAATAAGGAAGACCGTAGAAGAATTGATGCTTTTGAGTTATGGTGTTGGAGGAGAATATTGAAAGTGCCATGGGCTGCCAAAAGACCCCGCCAAAAGAACCAACAGATCTGAGTTGGAAGAAGTGCAGCCAGAGTGCTCCTTAGAGGCCAGGATGACCAGACTTTGTCTCTCATACTTTGGACATATTGTCAGGAGGGACCAGTCGCTGGAGAAGGATATCATGTTTGCT